AAGCGATAATTAGATTCACGGGACACGCCCCGCACGGTTTAAGCTGCCTGTGGTAATAGTGTGTAGCGACGACGCATGGACTACTGCGAAATGACCTGAACTACTGTGAAATGGGCCCACCAATGACTGCAAAATGAGCTCTACGCAGTTTTTTTTTCTTTGTTTCTTTATTAGTATTCCCGAAAGTGTGATAATTACACTGGGCCAGGTTCTGCCGCCCGCATGTACGACCAAATATTTAACAGCCTAATCTAACCAAACACCAGCAGATCACGGCATTGCTTGCATTCGCGGCAGGTCGTGATTAGCTGGCAACTGGTCTTGTTTGCCCATCCCTTCCAACGCGTCGTACTAGCCGCTGGATATTTGGTTGTGCATGTCTACGGTCCAACCTGGCCTCCAGGAAGCATCCACTTGTTCGGAACAGTGAAAGCAAATCGGCAAGCGACCTTTGTCTCCAAAGTCATATATAATGCTTGGAATATAGTATTCAAGAAGCAATCATTTCGCTTTGTTAACGTGATATTAACCAGTCGTATCGAGAGTGCAGAATAACCTGAATTTTGATCAACTTTCCAGGCAAATATAGAGGGGAAACTAAATTGGTTTGAAGTTTACATGATGTCCATTTTTCATCTAAATTTAGTGTGTATACTGAATTCATGTGCAGGTTACTTGTCTTCAATTTTCCCGTTAAATTAAGGTTAAGGCTAAATTGGTGTTTAAGTCACTCAATTTCCTCGGTAATTTCAACAGGGAAATGCGCGGACAACGATCGGACGGACGGACATTATAGGGATCAGGGGTTTTCGTTAAAGAGCATTTTATGCTTTAAAAATAAAGCAGCGAGGACTTTTTATTGCGGTTATCGATTAGATGGGAGCAGTTATCCAGGCGTGGGTGTAATACAACCAAACAACAGGGACTCAAACCGTAATTGTAACCCTAAACTAAAACCGTTAATGAATGAAAATTTCCAGGGTATGTAATGGAAACGAAACGACTATTTTCATACGCCATGAACCGAAACCGTAACCGTAACCTTTGAATATGAGCGAGTTTTAGTAGACCGTGTTTTCCCCAACGCTAAGTTCCTCCGCTACCCGGAACTCTACAACCAAAGCCGTCTGCACGCAGGCGCAGTGGCGGTTTCTTCGTAGCGGACGGTCAGCGGAGGGGGAAACACGGTTTACTAAAACTCCCTATTAAGCGCAAACCGATCTCTAGAGTTGGGTTGGCAAAACTTTCATAAACAACAAATTGAAAAATAGTTTGTTGTTGGACGAGTTGGTGAGCGTTTGGATACATGGTTTTGCGCAAAAAAAGACGGACACAAGAAAGAGAAACAAACACGAGCGCAACTTACAACTGTATTGAGGAAACCTTTAGAAAACATACAGATTAATGGTCAACTTCAATGCGTCCACGTATGCGTCGTTTCACTATCACACGCTCGTCACAGAAACTTATCAAGAAAGCGTTTCTCAGCATTATACAAACTTATCGAGGTATCGCTCACACATAGGTCGCCTTTCTTTTTGATAACGAAGGCTTCCAACAGCTCACGTGCTTTTTGTCTCTTACTTCCTCCCAAAATTAGTGTCAGAAAAACGTGGCTCACACTTACAGTTTCTGCAGTGTGCAGGCAAATGTGCCCCGTCATTAGTCTTTAAATTTTGAGCATGCTCCCTGAGACGGTCGTTGGCAAACCTTCCCGTTTGCCCCAGGTATGTCTTCTCACACGTCAGCGGGATTTCAATGATGACCTCTGTTTTGCAGCCAACAAACGGCCTGGCACGCTTTGTGCTGCACCCTCGCTTCTGTCTGCTTTCTCCAGTAATGCGGGGGCAGAGTTGGCCGAGTTTCGTCGGAGCTGTAAACACAATCGGCACCCCATGTCTCTTCGCAACCTTCTTGAGGTTATGCGAGAGTTTGTGCACGTATGGTACCGCTTCAGGCCTCACATTCTTCCGTGTTGACTGCATCTTTTTTTTTCAGCAGTGTGTCCCTTCACTCTTTGCAGGATGGTTTCCGCCACACTCCTCAAGACCGAATCAGAGAAGCCCGCTGACAACAGTCGAGCCAATAGACCCTTCCCGAAATTCAGTGCCATCTGGTGGCTATAATGGCAGTTTAACTTTTGCTGTACTAATGGCGGCCATGAAAATGGAGTCTGCCCTGCTTTATCGGACGCCGTCACTTTCGCAAGTCAACGGCAAACGACAGCGTGCGGTTCACTGTACATTTCCTTTCCTTCTCGATCTCTTTCAGTGACGATATAAACAAAGATGCAACCAGTCAGAACGAAGCGTCAACCCACGTACACGGCTTGATAATGTTCTACAAATCAAAGGGCTTTGGATCACCTTGATGCTACCAACAGACTGGTTGGGTCCGAGCTAGTAATGAACGCTTACGCAGATCTTACTTTCAATTCCTGCTTCGCATCGTGCTAATGTCACGAATGTATAAGCCTCCAATTATCTGCTAAGGAGCATCTTCAACTTCTTCCTTCATCAGTAAACAGAAGGCCGCCATTAGTACGGCACATATGCCATTTTTTCCGATAATGATGGTGATCAAAGTGGCCAGACTGAATTTGGGAAAGGTTTTATTGGTTCCTGAAGCTTGCCTGTATACTGTGAGCACACGACTTTCTGAGGGCGGACTCAAGGCAAAGCTTAGGGATTCCTCTTTTAACTACCTTCGGATGGGCTGAGTCATACGGCAGGAACTTCCTTTCGAGACCGCGGGGGATACATCCAACAAACGGGTTCTTCCAAGAACAAAAGGTTCAAGTCTAAAAACTGAAGGCTGCCCTGGTTGGGCAGCTGCTGTGTAAAAGACAAGCCTTTGCCATGGCGTATAAAAACCCGTAAAACCTCATTCACACCATCAGTGTACGTCAGAGAAGTCTGCTTTCTAAGAACGATTAAAAAATCATCCACCTATCTAATGACTTTACAAACAATAAACCATTAAGAGCCTGCTCAAGCGTCCGATCAATTGCTGCTAAAAAAAAAAGGAGTGCTAACGACCGTCTCAAAGAGCATACTCAAAATTTAAAGACTAATGACGGGGCACATTTGCCTGCACACTGCAGAAACTGTAAGTGTGTGTCACGTCTTTCTGACACTAATTTTGGGCGGAAGTAAGGGACAAAAAGCACGTGAGTTGTTGGAAGCCTTCTTTATCAAAAAAGAAAGGCGACCTATGTGTGAGCGATACCTCGATAAGTTTGTATAATACTAAGAAACGCTTTCTTGATAAGTTTCTGTGACGAGCGTGTGATAGTCACACGACGCATGCGTGGACGCATTGAAGTTGACGATATATCTGTATGTTTTCTAAAGGTTTTCTCAATACAGGTTGTAAGTTGCGCTCGTGTTTGTTTCTCTCTCTGGCGTTCGTCTTTTTGCGCAAAACCACGTATCCAACAAATTGAAACCTCTGGTTAGGATCTTCAGCTACCATTTGTGTTTGCAGACGGTGTGGGCGAGTGTTGTCTCCCGTTATAATTGAATTAAAAGCTGAAATTTTATTCAGGACTAGTTAACATACCTACTTCGGTGGACGTGCTATTGGCACAATATCTTATTGTGTCAGTTGTGTTCTATGCCTGTTTCGTTTGCAGCTTTTTTTTTCTCGGAGTATGAACATGTAACCTATGATCCTGAGATGTTAAGCAAACTTCGTCCTCCCAACTACAAACGTTCTCCACGGAAAGTACGAAGGATACAAATAAATTCTTCTTGCATGTCTAGTGAAAAATAATATCTGGCGTTCTGTCTTTAACCCTTTGATGCCCAGCGTTGCTCAGGAGCAACAACTAAAACACGATTTCTTTTCTCCCCCGAAACGCGCCAATCTATGCAATTAGCGCCATCTGCCGCAAGGCTGAGGCGACCCGAGTCTCTAGAAATAAAAAACAGAGGGCGGCACTCGTCCGCTTTCACTTATCTGCTACACGTGTGTGGACCGGCGAGCGACCTCGTCCCGCCACTGTACCATGTGAGTGAACTTCGATGAAAACAACTGCAGGATGTGATAATGCAACAAATCCTTGATTGAAATCTCGTACTGAATGACTAAAAGAGACATATGTGCAGTGAAAATGAACTTACATTTTGTGAGAACTCAGTACCAGCCTGACAACCGTGATGTTGCCCAGCAGCAACATCGGGCATATATGGGTAGCATTGGTATTGGTAACGAAAAATCGGTAGCGTATCTGTTAGGGGTTACCCGCGGCTAAAATCTTCAAATATGAATGTCATTTATGGTAATTAATGTTTGCACAAAGAATTAGAAAATATATAAATGTTTGTCTCTAGATGGAAAGATCCAGACCACGTAGACAACTGACGGATGAGGACATCTAAGAAATAATTTTCCTTCCGGATGGAGATATATCGGATATCGATTTTGACAACGACCCTGACGACCTTGAGTATGATCCAAGGCAAGATCGCAGGTTTCTTGAAACCTGCCCCCTTGAAATTGTGACCAACCTTCGCGACCTCGAGGAGCCACAAGTTCAGAGCAACGACGTGCCGAGCGGATCTTCTGAAATGTCGGCGCGTACTTCTGCTACTTCTCGTAAGAAGAATACAACGAGGGAAGCCAGTCTTGGCGACCACAAGGCACCAGATGTCAAAAACAACTATACATCAAGCGGTCTGTCAGGAGAGCTACCGCACAAACCTTCCGCTAATTCAAGTAACGGGAAGAAAACGAAACCAAAAAAGCCTTCAAGGATTTGGAAAAAGAAGGACCTGGCTATTGAGGATTGCAGCTGAAAAGCCAAACTGTCAGAACCGCCCGAAGATGTGCTCAGTCCATTTGAGTACTTTTCTACGTTTTTTGACAATGAAGTGATAGACGCGCTTCGCTATCAAACAAAGCTGTATTCGACACAAAGAAATGGCAACTGCATCAGTGTGACACATGAAGAGATGCGAAAATATCTGTCAATCTTGATCATCTTGGGAATAGTCCGCATGCCACATTTCCGGATGTTCTGGCAGTCTGGAACGCGTTTTGCGCTGGTAGCGGAATTGATGTCGAGGAACCGATTCGAGGCAATTCATCAGTGCCTCCACATGAATGACAACCTCCAGGCGCTGCCGCGGGGCACGGACGGTTACGACCGCCTTTTCAAAGTGCGCCCGCTACTCGATGAGCTGAGAAAAAACATGAGCAAGGTGGCCCCAGATGAACGACAAAGTATTGATGAGCAGATCATCCCCTTCAAGGGGAGATCGCACCTCAAGCAATATCTCAAGTCAAAACCCCACAAGTGGGGATACAAAGTATTAACGAGAGCGAGTTCTTCTGGAATCATGCACGACTTCATAATCTACGAAGGCAAAGGAACGGCTTCGGATAATGGGTTCGGCATCTCGGGGGATATTGTCATCTATCTGGTGAAAACTTGGCCACAACACGTAAGCCACAAGTTGTTCTTTGACAACTGGTTTACCAGTCTTCGCCTCGTCGATGAACTGAAGACTAAAGGGTTCCATTGCATAGGAACCGTGAGAGCAGACCGAACAGAAAAATGTCCTCTTTCTTCTGAGGCCGCCCTGAAAGCGCAGGGAAGAGGCTCCGTGGACTTCCGAATGGATGAAAAAACGGAGATCGAAGTGATAAAGTGGGTTGACAACAATTGCGTGACACTAGTGTCCAGTTATGCTGGAGTCCACCCAACCGACACGTGCAAGCGGTGGAACAGCAAAGACAAATGCATGGTTGACGTTTTACGCCCTCTTGCTGTCAAGGAGTATAACACTTTTATGGGCGGCGTCGACTTGGCCGACATGCTCATTGAGCTGTACCGCACAGATCACAAATCAAAAAAGTGGTACATACGCATATTCTATTGGATCATTGACGTGTGTATTGTAAATGGTTGGCTCCTGTTCAAGCGACACTGCACGCAACTCTGCATAAAAAGAAGGCTCTCTCTGCTCGCTTTCCGTGCTCAAATCGCACAAGCCCTGGCACACGTGAAGGCCACGCCTTTGAAGAGAAGGTCAGACACAGTGGAAAATGAAAATGCACCTCCAGGCAAGAGCGCTCGGCCACTAAAGCCAAGACCGACAGATGACGTGAGGTATGATGGAACGCACCACTGGCCTCAGTACACTGAAAAGAAGAGCAGGTGCAAAGACTGCAAAACTGGTTACACGTTCCTGTACTGTGCAAAATGCGAGATGCACCTGTGCCTTCTCCCTAGTCGCAACTGTTTTCACTCATTTCACGTGAAGTAGTGCCGCAGATGCCCAACGTTGCTCAGGAGCAACATCTCATTATGTGTTCACAAATAAAGGTAATTTTTTCTGAGACCAGGTTTTTGTTTTTTTGTCTGTTCTAAATCTGTACCAAAGTTTGTAGGTGTGCAGGACTTAAAGTAAAGTTTTGGGCATCAAAGGTTAACGGGTAATAACACCATAGAATGAAACAAAAAGCAATAAAAATGACCAGAATAAACATTGTCAAATATATTTTCGTCACCCATCACATTGATTGAGCTTTCAACGAATTTCACGTTTCACGAACAACAACAACAACATTTTCGCGAGTCAACGGCAAACATTGCGTTCGTACTATTTACCCGACGTTCTCCGCGAATATAACCAGTGAAAGGGTACAATAATTGAGCTAGTTGGTCTGACTGGGATCTCTTGGAAGGTTCTAACCACCGAGATAACAACGAAGAAGATGAAGTCAACACCGTTAGGTCTTTTTGTTTTTTCATACTTGTCTTTTGACGTTGTTATCATTTCCATTTAAACTGGCGAGAGGAGCGAGTAAAGCACAGCCGAACAAAAAAAAAAAAAAAAAAGTGACGTACGGCGTTTGTCGCGCCAGGCGCCGGGGGCAAGCTACACTCGACTGCTTTGCCCTAACCTCCTAACCTCCAGAAGCTACGCGCTCAATAAGTAGCTGCACCGGAGCGCGGCACGGGACAACACACCGCCGAAGGGAACTCCAGTGGGATACTCTCGCCTGCCGCCGTTGCCATACTCCATTGCTTGGGGGTTTCCCAAGTTTAATGCAGGCGCTGTATAGACCAACACGCTGCTGTTGCGTTTGGCCGAGCAGGACTCCAGGCCACGCCGAGAAGACGACACCGGGAGCAGGGCAGACGGACTTTTTAATCCGGGCAAGCCTACCGACAGACGAAAACCGAAGAACAATACCGGCGTCAGCGCGACCGACTTTTATCGGCTGCTGCCAAGAACAAATGAAAAGAAAAAGTGCGATGCCGAAGATATCGCTTTTGGCGCGGCGACTATCAACAATCGCGCGTTCCTGCTGCGCTCATGCGTGACAACGCAACACTGCCCTGACGTCACGCAGCTGCGGTGGCGCTGTCGACGGCAATACGCATTCGCAGACTCTTCACGCGAATCCGGTTTCTGCTATGCTTAGTGCCCACACCTGGTGCGGGAAAACGGGTGTATTTCGAAACAACCCATTCTTACTCGAACCCTTCTCGTCTGAACCCATTCGCAAAACGCCCTTAGCGTTTCAACCTTTCGCGTTTCGACCCTTTCTCATTTGAACCCCTTTTTATTTGAACCCTTCTCGTCTGAACCCATTCGCAAAACGCCCTTCGCGTTTCAACCTTTCGCGTTTTGACCCTTTCTCATTTGAACCCATTCTCATCTGAACCCTTCTCGTCTGAACCCATTCGCAAAACACCCTTCGCGTTTTAACCTTTCGCGTTTCGACCCTTTCTCATTTGAACCCATTCTCATTTGAACCCGTCTTGTCTGAACCCATTCGCAAAACGCCCTTCGCGTTTCAACCTTTCGCGTTTCGACCCTTTCTCATTTGAACCTGTTGTCATTTGAACACCGTAGTGAAGTATAGAAAGAAGGAAAAACAGTGGAAGGATGAAGGTTGAAGATGAAGCGAAGCGGCACCATCTTTTGCATAGCACATGAAACAATTTTCCTTATGCCTGCGCGCCAGCCCGAGTCTGTTGACATAGCTACGTGGTCACATGGTGACGTGGTTTCAAAAGTGCTAGCGCAGATTCGGTACTTCATTTCTCTTCTGTCGCTGTATGTCGTTAAGATGTCGTGTGGAGTGGATGGATCATTGTGGTAGTCGTGTGTTATTGCTTGTAATGGCCAATTCGGGTGGTCATTTTCCCTGAAAAAAAGATTTCCCAATTCGGGTGGTCAAAGGCTGGCGGGTGCAAGCTTTTCGGGTTGCGCTTCTCAGGCGTGTACCGGCAATTTGCCAGCAGAAGGTTTCCCGAGCTCCAAGAGATCGGGCAACTTGTCTGCCAGACTGTATCCGGTATCGTCACATCCGAATTGGGATAGGGAACCAAACGAAACAATGCTCGCTGAGGCGGCAAATAACGGGTTCGAGTGGCAAACGAAGCCATCGAGACAGGCACCCTTTTGTGCTCTGCGAGAAGATAGCAAAAACAACGAAGAGAAGGATAATTTATGTTTCAAAGAAAGTCAACATTTTTGGAAGAATTTATCCAGCCTGAGCAAGGTATGTTTGCTCTGAGACACGGGCTGCATCATACATCACTTTATTTTACAACTCTGTAATAACAAGGTATTACACCGCTGAAAAAAAAAGTATGCATAGTGATGCAGTTTGAAACTTGAACACGCAATACAATTTCAAGGAGGGTGGGTGCAACCAGAAGACTGAGGATTCCAAAAAAAGGTACTAGAGACTTTTAGTAGATCGTTCCGATACCCCCGATAGCCCCAATAACGATACTGTGCATGCGCAAGGGAGGCGGTGGCGGTGTCTCGGGTATCGTTATCGGAGTCATGGGAACGATCTAATAAAACTCTCTACTAACATTAAACAGAATATGGAAAGCGACGCTGGCAAGCCTCCGTGGCAACAGTTAATCGAAAATCCAAACAAAGTTTATTGAAATTTGACGCGCGTGCGGGCAGCACCACACTGATTTATACATCTGCCCTTTTATTGATTTTATATTTTAATATTCTGTCAGCTGTACGGACTGTGGTAATGCCAATATTTTGAAAAGTTTTGTGAAGCCGCTTCTGTTTACACACATCTCAAAGAGTCGTAATCTATGTTGTTGGCGTATGCAGCGTGCTCATGGTACCATAGAATGATCGAAGAAGAAGTTAACAGAGCTCACTCGCGACCCAGTCAAATAAAAACGCCAGTTCATTGTGCTTTGCATTCGGGTGGAGAGGGTCACGTGATGCGCCGCTGGCGTGTTTTTGGTCGCCGGTACCACAGGCAATGGCTCGAAGGCGATTAATTACCCGAATTCGCCATAAATACCGCAGAAAGATTGCGAGATCATGATGTTGGATTAATTTAGGTTCGAAGTGAGAGAGGTTAAAATGAGAAAAGTCTTTCTCACAAAGGTCAAGACCAGAAAGTATGTTTTGAGAAAATTTGAAATGAGAAAGGTTAAAATGAGAAAAGTCGTTTTGAGAAGGGTCAAAAGCCGAAAGTTTGTTTTGAGAACGGTTTAAATGAGAAAGGGAGAAACGCGAGAGTTGTTTTGCGCTGGATTGAAATGAGAAGGTAAAAACGAGAATGTAGAAATGCGAACGGGTTCAAATGAGAACCACCCGGCAAACGCGGGCATACAGAGTAATGGATGTCGGCCACGATGACTTCAAAAATCTTCAATCATAAGCGATTCAAATTGAGCCTCGCACGTGACTTCGTACACAAATAGGCGTCGTGAACGCTATTCCGTTGCCCGGAGAGATAATGAAATTAAAAAAAAAAAAAGAACGCCTAGCTTGTGCGGTTAGAGAGAACGCAGGTGAGCGGGGTCATTTCAGCATTTTTAGCGCAACTGCCCAGTGATTTTACACTGTGAAGAGAGTTGTCCACAGGTTGTTGGTGCTGGCAGAATTACCAAGACGTAAGTTCCGCTTTATCAATTATTTTTCAGTATATGTAAATTTTGTGCGTCAAAATGTTTAAAGGATGATACCTGTAGAGTAACAATAAAAAATAAAGAAGGAAAAAAATTCGTTCAAACAACACATTGTTGATAAAAAACATTTTCAAACAACACATTGTTGATAAAAAAAAAATTTTTTTGCACGTGCCGCCTAAAAATATTTTTTTTTGTTTACTATTTTTTATGGAAGGCGATGTTTTAAAATTTTATATGCCGTGTAACCTCTTCTTCCTTAAAATAAAATTAAATACGGAGTGCAAGAGCCATACAATATAAAATATCTTAGTGTCTTATGCGATCAGGTGAGGCAAACACATTCTAACACCTTTAGAATTGCGACGCTCGTACTTGCGACACCATTGCCATTATGTTTCTATTGGTCAATTTCTTTTCTGACGTTAAGTCTATTCACTCAGGCGTCCCATAGGGGAGCATTTTTGGACCGTTTCGTTTTAATATGTACATAAATGTCATTGTAAACATTAAGTCCTGCAAAATTTGTCATATATGCTGAAGACAGCACCCTAGTTTTTCTTCGGATAATAGCGATGATCTTGTCACAATCGCCAATGTCACGTTGTCCGAACTTGGGGCATCGGCAAGAGATAACTGCTTAAAAATTAATACTGATAAAACAGCTATTATTTTTTGACCCAAAATAAGTGTGTAACTCTAACGAGAAGCATCGTGCTTGACTCCACGAATATTGAAATCGTCAGTAAATTTAAAAGTCTTGGAGTCATATTTTGGGAACATATGTTGTGGTACAGTCACGTTAACCACTCACTTGCAAACTTATCAAACATCATAAGTCTGACATTGCGTAACGGCAAAACACTCCCAGTCAGTGTAAAGCTATTAATTTACAATTATTTACTTCATTCTCATCTGAGTTACTGCAACCTCGTCTGGGGTAACATGTATACCACAATCACAAACATGCAAACATTATTTTTACTGCAGAAAAAAATAGTTAGAATAATATGCAACCTGCCTTATGATTTCCATACAAGCAATTTGTTTAAGAAGTTTAGCTTATTAAAAATGTATAGCCTTTATGAGTACAGATTGATTCTGAGTTTATGATAAAAAAAAGAACCATTATAAATCGTTGTCAGTTAACCGTAGCAGTATTGACACCAAATCCACACGTTCACTTAACTAGACGCATGGAGTATTGGAGGATAGTGTACTGTTCTACTAACTATGGCACGCAAATGTTGCGATAGACCATACTAAAACTGTTAAATTTTCTTCTAGAAAAAGAAATTTGCATTGACACTATCTCCTTCAAGGCTTGGCGTTCTCTTCATCTGTAGCAGTGATTTACCTCCACTACTCCTCTCTGTAACGACTGTGCATGCAATCTGTTTATGTGATTAATAGCTGTTTTCTAATCTCGCGCACATTTTTGCTGCAATGCCAATGTACGGGGTCGAGGGCTGGTCAAGCCTTCCTTGAGGCTTTTAGCCTTTGCTCCACCATGCTTCAAGGAAATAAACTATTATTATTATTATTGTTATTATTAATATTTTAATAATACTATCTTTAATAGTCCCACTGAGTCAATAAAATGTATGTATGTA